GAGCAATGATGAAGCGGATCAAGTATGGCGCGTGCCTTACAAAACGGTAATCTCACTTTTAGGGCCAAAGGATCCTTTTTTGGGCGCTTCAGCGCTTTTGAATGTGTCTTTAGCACGCGCTTCGATCACAGCGAGAGAGGACCGACGACGACCTGTAGGGAAATCTCGATAGGGAAAAGAAGCTAACAAGCTAGCTTGTAAGATTCGGCGGCATACTTTTCTTTGTTCGTGAATCGGACGGTTTTCTGCAGAAAGCCGCCATAGTTTCTTCATCGTTAAAGAGATCACAAGATGGGAGAAACTGGTCGACAAGATCCCTGAAAATTTCTCACAGCATAAAAAGGACTAAATAGTAGCAGCAGCGATTTCTTGTGAAACTTGAACTATACCTAAAACCAGCTTCCACATCAAATGTTGAGAGCTGATGAAGCCGTCTCTTGGCCAGATCCACAACATTAGAAAACTTCGTTACATTCCCTTCCTTCGCATAACTTTCTGCCCACAAAAGATAAAATTTGAGCGAGTTTCGGAACAAGTCTTCTTCTTCAAGTTTTTCGAAGATCTTGGCTGAACCCATTTTCTTGCTATATTTTGCCTAAATTCCAAATCCAACTAAAAGTAGATGTAAACCAAAATTCCTGAACATACCAGTAGTTTGTACAAACGAAGCATATCCTCCTGTGAAGCTAATGTTCCCTCTTCTGTAATTTTCCTGATCGCTTTCAATGCCATATCCTTCACCCTTTGTGGTTTATAATTGTCGTAGGCTTCTATTTGCCTGAAATACCGATGTTTATAAGCTGCATGTAAGTTTGCAAAGTGCAAGCCCTGTAACGTTCCTTCCCAATTCGTTGATAACATTGAAAACTTACGCGCAAATCATCTGCAAACCAGCAACGCTTGGTTTATCCAGCACTTCCCTAAAAATATCATCATCAAATATGGCATGAAATAATATAATCCTAAACACTAACCGTAGGAGCATCTCAAACGGATCCATGGTGAGTAAAGATGGGCGCGAGCAAAATAAAAGAATTAGCCGTCTCCTCTGCTGCTAAAACAAGAAATGGAACATAATCATTCTCAAAGTGAGCGATAATATCGATAACAAGATATACGGTGCGGAAGAAACGATGAAAGAATCAGCTTTTAGCAACCGCAATCATCACAAGATTTTGGGCAAAGAACGATAAGTAAATTGATGGACATGTTCCAGGGTAAGCGTTTCTTCTTAAATTGTTAAAAATTGGAGCAAGTACTGTGGTCAATTTAAACTCCATATGTGGATTCGGCCCATAGATGAACAAGATGAAGTTTACGAGCAATTCCTGATATAAAGCCAGCTAAACAAACTAAAACCACAATGGCTCCTTGAGGAGTGCCCTGACTAGAATTCTCAGCTTGCTATACCATCTCCCTATAAAAGGCAATCTTCGCAAAGTTTTTTAGAAGCATTTATGAAGCCTTTTTTCTGCCAAAACAAAAATGAAAACACGAACCCAGAAGAAAACAACATTTTCTCACAAAATGCAACGGAAGAATTCAAACCTTCATTGTTCCCGCACTGTCTAATAACGCTGGAGCAGCACAGGCTGCATGGAGCGCGATAACTCATACCTGAGGGGAAAGCGTTCTTGGGCGAGATTGTTCTCGCTTTCAACGGTGATCAGGCCAAGACTGCTTTTTTT